ACTGTGCAAGACAGACACCAGAAGCTGCTCCTTTGCCCTCCCTGCACCCCTGCACCCTGCATCCACCCTCCTTCCCGTCCCCTCCCCCTGCTCTTTTAAGACTGGCTGTCCCCCCCTACGGCACACAGACCTTGAGGGGTTCCCTCTCAGGCTGCAGAGTCTCCTGAAAGGGACCAGAGCATCAGGAGCAGTTGTTTGTTTGTTTGTTTGTTTTTTGGTTTTGGTTTTTCGAGACAGGGTTTCTCTGTATTGTTTTGGAGGCTGCACTGGAACTCGCTCTGTAGATCAGGCGGGCCTCGAACTCAGAGATCCACCTGCCTTTGCCTCCCGAGTGCTGGGATTAAAGGCAGACATGTCTGTCTTAGAGTTTTTAATGGTTAAAAAAATCAAACCACGATGAATCTTTGACTTACAGTAGCTAACATGATTTGGCTATATATAAATGGAGACAACTGTATTAATCCATCTCTGTTTGAACATTGCTGTCAAAGTGAAAACAAAGTTATAATCTCTAGAAGAGAATTCCAGGACAGTCAGGGTTACACAGAGAAACTCTGTCTCTAAAAACCAAACCAACCAACCAACCAAACAAACAAACAAACAACCAAAGAAAGAAACAAACTTTATCTTATATGCCTGAGGGTTTGGCTTGTGTGTATATCTCTACACCATGTGTGCGCTTGGTGCCTTCCAAGGCCAGGGAGAGGGCATCAGATCCCCTGGAACTAAGTTACAGTTGTGAACTGCCTTTTGGTGCTGGGAACTGAGCCAGGGTCTTCTAGAAGAACAACCTGTGCTCTTAGTTACCGAGTTATCTCTCCAGCCATGCTTCTGTTTTGAAGACATGACTCTTACTGCGGACCTAGCTTTGGCTCCCATAACCTTTGTAACTCTAAAACCTGGGGATCTAATGCCCCCCCCCCGCCGGCCTCCAAGGGCACCAGGATGCACACTGTACTTTCACATATGCAGGCAATCACTCATACACTAAAAAAAAGTCCTAAAAAGCAGCTGCTGAGTCAGCTCATTGCGTGTGAGAGACAGGCTCAAGAGCTCCCACTCCAAGCAGATTCTCTGGTCTGTAGCAATTTCGTGTCTACTAAACAACATTATTAAACACATTAACATTTTGCTTTGATTGTAAGTTTAGTTTTATAGTTGTGTAAGAGTTGAAAACTGAAGATTGTTTTTCATCATAACACACATACTAGGCTGAAGAGATGACAGCTAAGAGCACTGGTTGTTCTAGAGGACCCGGGTTCAATTCCCAGCACCCAGCAGGCAGCTCACAAATGCAACTCCAGTTTTCCAGGGCGTCTGGTACCCTTACACAGTCATACATGCAGGCGAAACACCAACCACCAACGCACATAAAAATAAAGACGTATTTATTTGTACTTAAAAGAACACAAGTTATAAGTCAACTGCCAACAGTGGGAGAATAGAGCTACCCAGGTAGCTTTTTCCTTTCAAGGAGCCCAAACATCTTTCAAGTCTAAGGAACAGGGCACTAAGCCCCGGGATGCCAGGGTCTTTCCTGTTTCCCAGCTTGAGGGCTTGTTCTGGGGTTCTTCTTTCTTTCTCTTTTTTTTCTCTTTTGTTTTTGTGTTTTGAGACAGGGTTTCTCTGTATTGTTTTGGAGGCTGTCCTGGAACTCGCTCTGTAGGCCAGGCTGGCCTCGAACTCACAGAGATCCACCTGCCTCTGCCTCCCGAGTGCTGGGATTAATGGCGTGCATCACCAAACGCCCAGCTTGTTTTGGGGTTCTTAACCCTGACTTCACTTCAAAATCAACTTGGGAAACTTTGTAAAAATGCCCACCTTAGGAGGAGCATGGCTGCTCTTCCAGAGGATTGGGGTTCAATTCCCAGTACCCATGTGGTGCTTTCCAACCCCCTGAGATTCCAGTTCCAGGGGCCCAGTGCCAAAGGCTCCAATGTGCATGTGTTGCACCTAAACTCATGCAGGCACCTTCAGATACACAGGAAAATAGCAAGTAGATTTAAAAGTACCCACCCTAAGTGAGTATTATCAAGATGTGTTGTAGTCATGCATGAAAATATCACTAGGGGCTGGTGGAAGCTTGCCTAGCATGTACCAAGGTGCTGGGTTTGATACCCAGCATCACCTAAACTGGGCATGATGGCATGTGCTTATAATCCAGCACTTGAAGGTACCAGCAGGAGGACTAGAAAATCATCCTCAGCCACAGGACACCCTGTCTAAACAAACAATAAAGAGTCCTAATGAAACCCATTATTTTATATCACCGATACATGCTAAAACACACCCAGCCTCAGACGACAGGAGAATACGTAATGCAAACAATAACCAAAGGCAGCCACACCGACCTCAGAAGCAAATACCAGACAAAAGTTAGGTCCACATATTTTTCACCAGGGTTGAGAGATGAATCAAATACTATGTGGGACAAATTTACATCAAAAGATTATCTGAAAATGCAGATATAACACAGGAATCTGTGTTTATGTGGCAGAGTTCCAATTTTAAAGAATGGTGCTTTTCATACAAGAAGTCCCAACTGTAGCTGAAATGCTGGGTATTGAGACCCTCAGGTAAGGCTAGCCCATGCATACCCAGGCTAAACTTACATGAACTTTAAAAAGTAATTCAATTGAATGGGTGTTCAAATTTTATTTACTATGTCTGGCAACTTTGCATGGTACATACTGCCTTCAGTCATGACATACATTTAAGAATCTTTTCCTTAAGCAAGGCTTGGTGGCACACGTCTTTAATCCTAGCACTCAGGGTTAGAAGGACCACTGAGTTCCAGGCCAGTATGGTCCATACATTCAATTCTCGGCCATCCAGGACTGTACAGTGAGACCTTATTTCACCAAAGAAACAAGCACACACCGGGCAATGGCCGAGAACACCTTTAATCTCAGCACTCGGGAGGCAGAGGCAGGTGGATCTCCGAGTTTGAGGCCAGCCTGGTCTACAGAGTGAGTTCTAAGGACAGCCAGGGCTACAGAGAGAGACACCATCTCCCCCCAAAATAAGAAAGATAATGATAAGAAAGGAGAGAAGGAAAGAAAGAAAACGAAAGACAGCAAACAAAGGATAAACCCTTTTCTTAGCGGCCAGTTGAGCCCAAGCGGAGTGACTTGTCTCCCTCTAGTGGCGAGTTCCGTCAATGCATGTGCTTTCCAAGACCACGCATTTAGCTAACACTCCCCAGACGTCAGCGTTGAAGTCTCCAACAGGAGCAGGGAAAGAGAGGGGAGGAAGGGAGCTTTATTTTCAGGGTCTGCTTTGGAAGGAGACGTTCTGTAAAACACTGTGCTTGCTCTTTCCAGGAAGCTTGCTTCCCAGAACTGCATGTCAGGTGGGTGTGAAGCTGAATTCAACGTGAGAAGGATTCAGTGTGTGGGCGACACTGCATACTCCTAGGCCATCGCTGCCTCTGTGCGAGTTACATCCTAGAAAACTAAAAACTGGTATGAAACCGGGGAGGTGGCGCAGCATCGACAAAAATGTCGTCTTACATAACTTAAGTCTTGTGTGTCCCTCTGTCAGGGACACAATTGGTCTCTTTCCTCCCACGATGGATCCAGAAAACCTAGGGGTGTGTGTGTGTGTGTGCACGTGCTCACTGTGAGCATTGTTTAAAACAAGCAGCTACTGGGAGTTTTCAGTTCCCATCGCCCCCCCCAATTTACCCTTCCCCACCAGAAGCCAGAATATCTACCCCGCCGATTTCTTCATTTTCATCATCGTGTCTTTGCAGAATGCCTTCTGCAGACATAGGCTGAGGGGGTGGGGGCAGGTCAGACAGGGCAGGGACATGCAGGGCACTAGGAAGAGACAGCTTCTTGCCTGTCTTCTCAGATGGGGGAGAGACTGTTATCCTGTTAAAATAATCACCCCATCATCCAAATGCACATGGATTTATGTCGCCCTCAAGACTGGCGACACCCTAAGCCCCAGGCTATGTAAGCAAAGCTCCCAGGGACATTGTTCACTGGGCCAACACTTGGTCTGCGAGCACAAGGAACCCCAAACCTACACCAGCACCTCACAGAAAAGCCAGGCTTCACTGTGCATGCTCGACCCTACCATCAGGGCAGACAGACAGACCTCCAGAGCTCGCTGGTCAACCACCCCAGCCAGAGCCCTGAGCTTCCTCTTCAGAGAGAGAGATCCTATCTCAGGTCCCAGCCGGATCTCCACACTAGGGCATGGGTACAAACACTTGTGGCACCTGCGTGCTCATATTCATGCACAGGCGTGTGCTCCCTCGTGCTCACATGCAGCGCAGACAGACACACACAGGGGTGGGGGTGCTGGGATTAAAGACGTGCCCCATCAATGCCCAGGGTGAGTGAGTTTGGAATGTAATGAATTGAGACATTCCCTCCTGAAGAGAGAAGTGAAGCTTCCGAAATACAAGAAGCTAGGAAATCTTCCAAGGCACAGGAAGTCATGTGATCACAGCCCTCTGGCTGAGGTGATGAAGGCAGGGGGCTATCGCTCAGCAGACTTGCCTGCAAACGGGACCAGGATGCAGCTTTTAAATCCTCATCTGAGCTTGGGTGAGAATCCTGAATAAACTCTGGCTCAGCAAGCTAGACTCAGGCCAGTGGTTCTCAATCTTCCTGATGCTACGACCCCTTGACACAGTTCCTCATGGCCCCCAGCTGTAAAATTATTTCATTGCTGCTTCCTAACTAATTTTGCTATGTCCTGAATTGCAATGTGAACATCTGATATCCAGGATACCTGGTATGTGACCTCCTTGAAAGTGTCATTCGACTCCCAAAGGGGTCGAAACCCACAGGCTGATAACCCTGACTTAAGTGGCATTTTCTCTTTGGGCTGTTGCTGGCGCCTGACCTTGGGAGGTGGCATTTCTCTTCATGTTCACCTAGGCAACAGCCGGTGAGCTGAGCACCTGGGAACTGAGACAGGAGCATAGCAAAACGAAGCCTGAATGCAACTGGGACCTGCCACTGTCTCCGATAACAGGACACTTCTTAGGAAGAATGATGGATTTATTATTCCTCCACTGCGAGGAAGGGAGCTGACAGAGTGTCCACTGAGTCTCCCGAGTGAGACAGCAGGGTGTCAGCACACGTGCTCGACAGACACTGCAAGGGGCGGCAGACCTGCACGGCTCTCCTCACTCCGCCACCTGCAGGATGCTGGCACACACAATCCGAGTTCAAAGCAGCACCCACCAAAATCCAGAGTTGTGGCTCCGGCGTGGTACGTAAAATCATTTTGCAGCAGTGAGCCTCGGGCAATCATACGAAAGGACGAGATACAAACGTGGTCATAGAAACGTAGAAACTCGGCGATTTCCCTCCGCAAGCAACGAGCACCTACGCCTGCTTCGGTCTCAGATCTCACGCGTTCGGGGGTCCTGGGGCTGCACCATTGCAGGGGCTGCAGGCCCAGTGAGGAACTCAGTCCTCGCTCGAAGCTTCGGCACTAGAGGAAAACGGACTCCAAAGAACAGTGCTCGCCAGGTACACAAGGCTACAGCGAGGGTGGGGAAGGCTTCGGTGACCCTGCCCCCAAGTCCCAAGGGAAATTCGAGGCTGTCCGAAGTATCATAGCCTGCCGGGCTCTGTATTTTTTACACACACACTCACGTGTCCACACCTGTACACAAACAATGTGCCTGTTATGTGGCTCAGGTAGGCCCCAAGTTCCTAGGCAGCTGGGAAGGGAGCACAGCAGACACCATTGTACCTGGCCCATTTGTCACAGATTTCTGCTCAGCCTTTAAGTGACTCTGGTCTAGAACAGCTGCTCTGTTTTAGATTGGACTGCTAATCGATGCTCTGTGGCAGCGCTCATGGAATGTAGCCGGGTCACCTGTGTGGGTGCATGCAGACGCACCCATGGGGCTGTCACTCTGCATCTGCACACACTACCGAGACCATTTCCACATTAGCCGGGGATGGCACTGAGCTCCTCTAAGAACGCCAAGAACTCCCAGGTGGCTCGCCCTAGGGTGCATGGTATTTCTTCTCTTAGATCTGTATTTCCTGAAGGTCTTACATGCACGGGTGTCTTACCTACAAGCGAGTTCACGCTGCACATGCCCGGTGCCTGAGGCAACCCACACAGAAGCCCTCATTGCATCCTCTGGAGCTAAGTGACAGCCAGCTGTGAGCCACCATGTGGGTGCTGGGGGCCGAACTTGGGTGCTCTAACCACTGAACTCTCTCTCCAGCCCCACGTGCATGGCGTTCCTAAGGACAACCCTGTCATCACCTTAGACGGCAACCCATTGTCATAGGCATAAGGCATTGGGAGGGGGGACTGCCTTTGCTGTTTAGTAGGCAGGGAAGTCCCCTCCCCACCTACTGCAGCCACCGAGGGCTTGTTGTGGGGTCTCACCCCGAAGACTCGTGTTTGTACGTGTGAGGGATGGAACACTTAATGCTAATGTCGGGGCCTTCGCTTGCCCACATCCTGACAGGCCTTGCTTCTCTGTAGGCTGTTCCGTGGGGAACACAGGAGGGGCAGGGCTGGGCGGCTGAAGAGGCGGGGTACGGAGGTAACGGGGGCCAAGGCCATGCCCTCCACTCTCATCTCCTCTGGCCTGGAACCGAGCTCTGCCTGCCTCTGCCTCCCACGTGCTGGGGACTAAAGGCGGCGCCACCTCCCGGCTGGGGTCCTGCCACACCTGGGCTAACAGTCCACCCGGAGCCACCGGGGCTGCTGGGTGTCCTGCTATGGACGATAACCATGGGCCTGGATTTCAAGTGAGTTACAGGCACCTGTGGACAGCCACACCACCGGCTCTCTCCCATCACCACAGCAGCTGACACCTGAAGGACATGGGTGCTGAGCCGTCAGCTGGTATCACAAACAGCACAGAGAGGCCGCGGACACCCACACGGGGTGTGACAGCGAGGCTGGCTGTGCACCGTTTGTCTCCCTCAGCGAACGGCGTCCGTCTGGCTCCACAGGCACTAGAGCGCTCACCCAGGCCCCACTGAGATCTTAAACTGCAAGGGCAGCTACTCCACTCAGGGAGTCCCTTTCTCCACGGCCTCGGTGACTTCTGAGTTCAGGCAGAAGCCACTGCTGTGGAAAGCTAGGGTTAGGAAGTGCTAGTGTAGCCGGCGGTACCTCAGACACCTTAGGGGTACCACAGTATTAAAAAGCCAAATGTATGTTCTGGATGTCTCCTAGAATATGAACACTGAGAGAGAATACCAGGTGGCGTGGGCAGCAGAGAGTCACAGCTGTGGCCCAAGCCAGCACCAGGGACTTCAGCTGCCACAGACGCAGGCAGCCACCCTCGGCTAAGCCCTCCTCACAGAGGAGAGCACGTGGTGCCGGACCGGCTGTCAGCACTGGAGAGCTACTGTGCCTGCAGGACTGGGCTCTGGATTCTTCTGTTCCCAGGAAGCGGACGCCCTCTCTCAGGTCCCAGGAGGGCAACGCATGCTCCACAGCCTGCCACATGGAGTTCTAGAAGGGCCCACTGTGCTCGGGGCAGCCCTGCGGCCTGAGTCCCTGGCTGTTCTCGCTCCCCGTACTTTCCTCTTCGTTAGAATAGTTCCCCGAGTCCTGGCTGGACTGGGAAGTGTACTTCCTGTGTTCCCCCTCGGGGCTGGGATTTCCTCCTGTTACAGCAACAGTGCCTGTGTTTTCGATGATGAAGCATCTCTCAGTGTGTTCCTCAGGAGTCAAAAAGAGAAGGTACTTTGAAGGCGGCTCAGAGAAAACCTAACGGGAAAGAAAGAAAGGGACACAAGCTGTTTAGCTTCCTTCCTTTGCACCCAACGTCAGCAAACCTACCTTTCGGCGTGTGCGGTCTAACAGGTGAGCCGAGCTCAGCAACGCGCTGGCTGTCGGGGCTCAGAAGGCGCAGTGGGGCCACCAGGCTGAGCCTCACTGGGGTAAGGCTACGAAGAATGCTTAGACACTGTGCTGTCTGGGCTGGGCTGGGGGCTCTGGGATCACAGACGTTCTAAAGTAACCATACCCAGTTCACCAGTGACAAGCGAGAGGTGAACATCTCCCTGTCTGTCTAGCTGGTTAGGAGCCAGCTCTTACGTCACGACCGTCAGCAGCAGAGCACACGGGCAAGCTGAAAACCCCAGCATGCAGTAGAGAAGGCTGCGCTCTGAGGCCTCAGGTCCCTCGGTCCTTAGGTTTGTAACAGGGTCTCTCTGTAGCCCTGACTGGCCTGGGGCTTCTGAAAACCTCATGTCTTGTTTTTGGAGATAGGATCTGACTACTCAGTTCATGCTGGCCTCAAACTCACTGCAATCCTGTCTCAGCTTCCTGAGATTTACAGGTACACACCACCATCGGGCTTCCAACACTGCTGGGACTCTAACACTGCCACGTCGGCCCAGGTTACTTTCTGGATGAAGAAAGCACAGATCCTCTGTTGAACCCGAGCATTTGCTCCCCATTCCCTAGCTGGTGAAAGGGTAGAGCGTACCTCATCAATACTGGGGGGAGGTTTGGGCGATGAAAAGAACTCAGAGTTGAGGCATTTCACGAGGTTCTTTCCGGCATAAAGGGCCAGGGCAGAAAAAAACAGAGTGCCTAATACAGTTAGGATCCAGTTCATGGAAGAAGAATTTCCTGAAACACACAATAACACGAGTATCAGCACTTTCTCACGAGAGCAGCCCCAGGGAGGAAACAGTGTCCTGAGACTGCGTGGCATTTAATACATCCCTGTGGGCAGTGACGGCCACACCTGAAGACTGTCCTGAGAACTGAGCCTGGTTCAAGGGGAGAACTGTAAGAACAGAGAGGTCCCCTCAGCTGGTGTCCCCAGCACCTGCACAGCTCAGAACCTGAAGAATCTTCAGGGCCTCCGGTGGCTAAGCCAGTCGTCTCCAGGACAAAAATACAAAGGAGACTCAAGCACCAGCAAGTCCCAGCCCTTATAACGAACGCGCGTTTCCACAAGGTCGGTCACGCGTGACAGAACACGGAAACCTGACAGACGAGCGTCTGCCGGCTTGCAATGAGGCCCGCCCCGGGGGAAGAAGAGCCTAGGAAACACGGACTGAGTCGCATGGAGGAGCGCTCCCTGGCGCAGGGCTCGCTTTTGATCCCTGTGGTTCAGGAAGGACGTGTTCCGCCATTTGAAGCAAAGAAATTCTTTGCCAATCCCAGCGCAGCACTTTATCAGCTCCAGCTTCATTAAAAGCTTCTAGAAGCTTCTCACCTGGCCTGGTCGCGTCACACAGCGCATCACTGAAGTCGCTGCTTTTGTTCCATGTGGCAAACGAGAGCACCCTGGCTTGCACGCAGTACACAGTCTGTGGCTGCAAGTTCTCGATGGTAAACTCTGGGCTCTCCTTCACCACTCTTCTCTATAGAAATAATAAAACCGTGATACGATCCAGTCGCCTCAGAAAATATGTATTTTCTGGACTCTTTTTCTATTACTGATTGGTCTCTTCCTAACACCTCGCTGGCACGTGTCTAAGCAGTAAGAAACTTGTTTTAAGTGACCCGCTAGGACCAAACCAGAGAGTTAAGAATCTGTTGCCACTGTGGCATAATGGTGGGGGCAGTTAAGAGAGGGGGGGTCCAGCCTTGCTCCGCTGCTGCCCACAGGAAGTCGCCACGTAAGCTGTGCTAACACGGAGTCACCTCGTTGGTGCTGCACTTTCCAGTCCACAACAGGGCTGTGTACCAAAGCCGTTTCAACTCAAACTCTTTTTTTCTCACTGGTCACAAGGTGGCCAGGGTAGATCCCCCTAAGGCCTGGTCCACCATCCATGTCCCAGAGCCTAGGTGACATGTACATCTCTTCTGTGACCCAGGTGACCACGCTACCAGGCACGCTTCAGTGAGGAAGTAAGCAACGCTCACCCGTGTTTGCTGCACAAATTAACTGCAAACACTGTCTTTTGGAGAGAGACAGGCCAGGTCATGTAAAAACCTTCGCACAAGTCAGGATCCATTTGCTGCCAGGGTTCCAGGGGATCAGCAGGGACAGCACAGCCACTGAGATGTACTGAGTCTCCTCATTTCAAATCTGACCAACCCCCACAGAGCCGAGTTGCTACAGCTACCACTGCTTTAGAGAAGAGCGGACCAACATCAAAGGTCAGTACGGAGTTTGTCAGCGTGGGCCATAGACTCAGCTTGTCTGACCTCAGGCCTGGTGAATGTCAAGGATAATTCTCAATGAGTTAAAAGATGCTACGGCAGCACAGGCGGACAGCGCCGTGGGATTTGTTTAAATTCCCGTGAAGAGGCAGCGTTCACTATGTCACCTGCACCAGAGTTTATTCTTGGTTCCCTGACTGAAGTCCCACAGGGTGCATGGCGTGGGACAGAGAGTTCGGTCATTATTACTGGTTCACAGCAACCCTTGAGCCTTTTCGTGACTACTCCATGAGGAGACGTTTTAGCTGGTTCTCCCACCACGGGTTAAGCTGAACGCTGGGGGCTCGGTCCCCACTGAGCTGCCAGCTGAGGACAGGTGACAACATCTGGAGATACTTGGTTGACACAGCTCTGAGGGAGCGCTAGAGACACACGATGAAGCCCAGTGATGTCACAAATCCATTGGAGTAAGGACGGAGTCACCACGAGGGACTACCTGGCCCAAACATCATCCTTGCAACGGCACCTCAGATTAGAAGAGTACTTGGGAATCGTGGTAAAAATGGTTCTAATTCCATAGCAACAGACTCAGGATGTATTTCAAAAGCAAACTGGGAGGTTGCCAAGACAGCCCAGTAAGTAAAGGTGCCTGCTGAAAAGCCTGGCCACCGCGTTCAGTCCCTGGGAGGGACAAAGTGGGGTCACTTCCACAGTCTCCAGACTGTAAGTAGGCGCAGGCGCAGGCTGTGGGACAGAGCACGTGTCTAACTACGTAAAGATGTGGTCCTGTTTCACCCTGCCTGTCTAAGACACCTGAGTGGTCTAATAAAAAACCTAATGGCCACTAGCTGGGCAGAGGAGGGATAGGCAGGGCTGGCAGGCAGAGAGGGGGAGCCAGCTATCTGGGGGCCAGGCAGCGGACGGAAGGAGGGAAGCAGGGTGGGCAGTGAAGTTGAGCCGTGGGGCGGCACGGGGACTAACAGACATGGTTAAGTCAAACACACAAAACCAGCTAGGCAGAAACAAGCCTACGCTGAGGCTGAGCTTTCCCGATTAATAAGAAGTCTCCCTGTCACGGTCTGGGGGCTGGCTGTCCAAGAAGGCCTGCTACACATGCACGAGCACACACCCACCCTGCATGCCCACGCGCCTGGACTCACAGTGAAGTAGGCCCAGATGCAGCCAGGCGACCTGTGACTGCCGGGAACAGGGAAGAGGCTACACACAGCCACAGTCCAACGCTTGAGAGATCTTCCCCAAACCCTGGAGCCGGGGCTTCTATTCTCTTCCCTCTCCCTTCCCAAATCACAGTCCTAAGTCACAAAGTTCCTGTGGAGGCTTCTTACCTTAGTATTGGAAGTCTTGTCCCAAAAAACGACTTCATAAGTTAGCTTGCGACACTTGCTGAGGGAGTGGTCTTGACAGCTGACATAGACAAGCAACGAGTCCCTGGTGGGGGTGACAGCAACGATGGGAGGAGGGATCTTAGCTGGGAGAGACACGGAAAGAGAGAATATGGCATCAGACTCCTTAAGACAATTTTTTTAAAAAAGATTTATTTATTTACTACAAACACAACACCCTGCCTCCATGTACATCTACACACCAGAAGAGGGCACCAGATCTCATTACAGATGGTTGTGAGCCACCATGTGGTTGCTGGGAATTGAACTCAGGACCTCTGGAAGAGCAGTCAGTGCTCTTAACCTCTGACCCATCTCTCCAGCCCCCTCCTTAAGACAATTTTTACAAACCTGAACTAAATGAGGAAATTACAGTCTCACGTGAACCACGCCCACAACCTCAGGAGCGCAGGCAGGATACCTGCCATGAGTTTGGAGCCAGCCTGGGCTACACAGTGAGTTCCAGGCCAGCCTGGGCTACAGTGTCAGATGCTGTCTCAAAGAAAACTTGGCTTACTGTATTTTTGGGAATTGATCAATTTCTCTTCGGACCAAAAAGATGTGTTATTTCCACGGAAGGCTTGTACCCGGAGAAGGAAATGATCTGTGTGGATGGTGTTCCGAGGAAAGACACACTGCATAGTTCGGATATCTGCACAGGCAGGTATTGGCTTCCATTTATCGGGAGAGCTTCCAGAAGTACTTTTATAAAAGTTACTTTGAAAGACCAAACAAAACGAAAGGTTAAATTCATCCATGAACTCAGTAAATATGTACTGAGATTTGTAATACTGTCTTACAATACGTCAGACACTGCAGTAAGCACTGTGGCCCCAGGGACAATGGAGGAGACACTGATCCCCAACAAAGGCTGCTCTAGAGTGTGCCTGTGGCATGCTGGCCCTCAGTGTGGGAGTGTATGTGAATGCATCTGTGTGTGTGTGCTTGTGTGTGTGTGCGTGCGCGTGCACGCGTGCCTTAGGTGGATGCTGGGCGTCTTTCTCTCTCTCCACTTCACCGAGGCAGGGTATCTCTCACCCAGCGTGCTGACGTGGCCAGTCTCGCCAGCCAGCTTGTCCCAGGACTGACTCTCAGGTGTTGGGACTACCTGTGCTGCCACACCTGTAGGATTTACCTGCTTCCAGAGATCTGAGCTCTGGCTCATGCTTGCATGATAAGCACATCCTCTGCTACCCATCTCTCTTCAAAGTATGTGTTTTATAAACAAATAATTATTAGAAGGCTGACAGGGGATGTCCCCTGTATGCTGTAATTATGTGTTTCTTACTGGCTGACAAACAAAGCTGTCTCAGCCAATGGATAGGTGGGAATTCCAGACAAAGAGGCAGAGAGGAGGACAAAGAGACAGACACCGTGTAGCCACTGAGGAGGCAGGACGCTAGGGCATCATTACCTAGGTAAGTCAAGGCCACACGGTGATACACAGATTAATAGAGGTGGGTTAATAACTAAGAGAACTAGTCAGTAAGAAGCCTAAGCCAATAGCCAAACAATTACAAATATATAAAGTCTCTGAGTGGTTATTGCATAGAGGCTGCGGGACCTGGTACGGAGAGAAACTGGTCCAGTAGGGCCCAGACTAGACGGGGAAAGTCTCCCTTTGCAGAAGGCTGATAGGAAATTCAGAAATAAAAACTTACTAAAAATATTACAAACTCACATCGTCTCATGTGCTGGCTAGCTTTATGTGATCTTGATACAAAGCTATTGCCATCTGAGAGAAAATGCTTCTGGAATTTCAAACTCTAAGTAGACAAGCCTGTAGGGCATTTTGTTAATTACAGTTCTTTGGGGCTGCAGAACATTGTGGGTATGGACACCCCCTGGCTGGTGGTCCTGGGTTCAATAAGAAAGCCCTGATGCTGGAGGGATGGCTCAGAGGTTGAGAGCACTGGCTGTTCTTCCAGAGGTCCCGAGTTCAATTCCCAGCAACAACATGGTGGCTCACAACCATCTGTAACGAGATCTGGTGTTCTCTTCTGGCCGGAAGACATATAAAATACTGTATACATAATATATCAAATTGAAAAACCGAAGTAAGGAAGGGAGGGAGGGAGGAAAGGAAAGAAGGAAGGGAGGAGGAAAGGAAGCAAGCCCTGAGGAACAAGCCTTAAGTGAGCAGCGCCCTCCATGGCCTCCGCATCAGCTCCTGCCCCCAGGATTCTGCCTGACTTTGCTCAGCGATGAACTACGATATGGAAGTGCCAGCCAAATAAACCCTTTCCTCTTCAGATGGCTTTTGTCACTATGACATCACAGCGACAGTAACCATAACTAAGAAATACTAGTTATATTTTATCTGTTCTTGAAGCCACTTTTAACCATCACATGCTAACATACACTACTTAACAGTGTGCTATGTGCGCGCAAACCTTCCCAGGCCCACATTCAAAGACTTCAAGCCGGGAGCCTCAAAGTAGCCATGATGGGAACATTCCCGTCACAAAATTCAGCCAGCACTACAAACAGGGCTTTTCCCTTTTGGAAGGGAAATTGCGGCACCAAAAGTGCCACTAACACAGATCAGTGCCGTGCACCCAGGGCGAGCCCTCCCTGAGGACAGAGAGGAAAAGCTACTGGCCAAGAGACTACAGTTCAGAGCCTGGAACGACAAACCTGCTAGTAGGCTCTGTCAGGGGTGGTGCCAAGTGGGCACAGGGCCCCACATACAACCTGCCACATCGAGGTTTCTCAAGCAGACTCCCAGCCACCACTCTCCCAGCTCAGAGCCCCCAATGGCCCCAAGACCTGTAAGACAGGCAGGCAGTGCCGAGCCTGTCCCGCACAACAAAGTCACTTCTTGTCCAAATGTCCTCCTCTCTAGGACACCCTCCACCATGGCAGGCAACATCAAGAACGCCCCCGAGGTTCCTGCCCTCCTCTGCTGCGTACTGTCTACAGCCCCTCCACAACCTGGGGAGATGGCGGCCGCTTCGCTTTCCTGTCAGGTTATACCGTCTGGTGGGAGGAAGGCGGATCCGCCATTAATGGAATGAGTGAAACACCTCCTTGGTGGCCTGACCTCTGGCGGGTGTAAAGGTCATAGTCCGCAGCCACAGGAGCGTGCAGCAGAAAGGCAGGCTTTGAATGGAAGCACCCTCCCCGGTGACACGATTTTTCCTTCCTTGCACGTGAGCCAGTGGGTGTGCCTCATCCACCGGTGTAAGTGCGGGGGGCCTGTACAGCGGCCAGGGCCGGCCGGCAGGGGCCCTGCTCTCCACCTAACTCCCTCGACATGGGGAGCCTACAGTGAGATTCCCGGCTTCCCAAGGCATCCCTCCCGCCTCTCAGTCAGTCACACGCAGAAGGAGCACGCACATCGCACATCGAAGCAGACCGGGTGAGGACACGCAGGGAAGGGACTCACGGGAGCCACTGTGCTCGGAAGCTCACGTCTGCAGGCGCACAGTCCCATCTCAGAACATAGCTCTCACCTAGGGCATCCATTTCTATGTTTTCCGGCACAGGCATCTTGCTTGCCTCTGGAAGCCAAAGAATCCATTAAACATACTTTTTTCCATAGTACTTTTTCTTTTCAAGATTTATGTTCTGCCTACATGGATGTCTGACATAAGAAGAGGGCATCAGATTGAACTGCACATGGTTGTGAGCCACCGTGTGGGTGCTGAATATTGAACTCAGGACCTCGGGAAGAGCAGCCAGTGCTCTCCAGCCTCTAAACATACATTTTAAACCAGTGGGGCAGAGCCACCTTTATCTTGTTTAAGAGACAAAACATACTAAACTTATAATTAAAACCACGAGCCAGCTCCTACCCTGACCTTAATTATCAGCAAGGTTGGCAGCGAGTAAGTGTTTTCATCTTTGACATTCCATCCGCAGGGGTACGCTTTGGGTACCAACCGCTCTGCTAGCAACTACATGAGCATTACAGGCAAGTAAACAGCATTTTAACTGTCAAGTAGAATTAATTTTCATTAGTTCTGAGACAAAAATGACAAAGTAATGACTTGATTCTGTAAGCACTGTATTCTTCCTTTTGTGTGTGTGCTAGGAAGTGTTCAGTCACACGTCTATACCCAATGCTTTAATAACTATTAAAGCATCACACACTCCATCACATAAAATGCTTCAGCAATCAGGAGAAAATGCCCAAATTAAATGCCGTCAATACTCAGCTACTGATCCAAAGTCAGGGCTCTTCCTTACCTGTGGTGTTTATACACTGGACTGCGCTGTAATTGCTGTGTTTCCCACGGAACGTGTGTATCGCTTTAACTTTTAAACAGTAAGTAGTCTCTGGCAACAGTTTTGAGATCTTTATTGTGTAATAAGAAGTTGTAATAGTCTTCTACAAAAAGATTTAAAAAATACAGTCAAGTTTTAGAATTCACTCATCGCCTTCTGTCTCACATCGAACCAAGTAAAAACCAGAAACTTACCGTCTCATTCGAAGACCTCTGCCAGATTACTATCCTGTACTGGAAGCGGAGAGTATCACCTTCCCACATTTTCCCGCCTCGTCCGGGATAAGAGATGTCCACTACGATAGCTTGATCTTCAGCTTCTAAACGCACTCCCGGGGGGCCAATGTGAGCTGTGGACATCAGGGAGCAGCTCTGTGACCTCAGCAGTTCCCTTCCAAACGTTAACAATAGGCAACGCCTGTCCCGTGCGGTAGACAGACGAAGGTCCTCACGGGTCTGACGCCCGGGGGGGGCGGGACATGGTAAGAACCACCCCCCCACAGAGGCACGCAGGTGCACTGCGGAGAGCAGGGAACGGTGCGAGCCGGGGGAGGAGGAGGGCAGCAAGAAGAAGCCAAGTGAGGACGACAAGGGCCTTGGTAGACAGGGAAAAGGCGGCGTCTCAGACATCCTCACCGGATGGTCAGGCGGAATGTGACGAGGCATAAAATTAGGGAATGGGTCAGCTTGAGCCGATTACCCGCCGACATCCTTCCCTGAGATGGCGAGGCCGCGGGAAGGGCTGTGAGGGAGACTGAACATTTTTACTATGGCATGGCTTTACCATCTAGGCAGACACTGGGTGGGGATGGTGACATCAGTGCAACGCTCAGAGGGGACAATGGGGCAGGGGGTGGAATGCTGGGGTCACAGGTTTGATGGCTGGGCCTGGGACCCACTGCAGCCCAACCTTGGAATCTCCTGCAGAAGAGAGCAAAAGACACAGAAAGAGGGAAACGCGGGGATCAGGAGACTCGGGATCAAGCGGTGCCCCGGTGAGGCAGGAGAGGAGAGCTTCGAGGGGGAGGAGCCATGCCCACGCCCTGGCCAGGTGGGCGGGGCACAGGGAGAGCAGGGGGGGGGACCAGGGAGGCTCCTGTGGCCAGAGGTGGCCGCTGACATCTGCGCAAGTGTGGAAAGGAAGAAAGGGAATGGACAGTGACGAGAGAGGAAAGGGAGGAAGTGACAGACCGGACCGCGGGCACAGGCCACTCCTTCTGGAGACTGTGGCAGGACAGGGCTTCTTCAGATTCTAGATCTCTTTATAGGACTACAGAAATCTGTTTACACTGGGTAAGTGCTTTGACCTCAGCATGCTGACCAGAAAAACAGATACAATTACAAAAGGTTTGTGAATTCACAAAGATGATAAAACTATCAGAAACACTGTTTTAAAAAAAGTACATTTCCAAAAGCAACAAGATTTTAAGGTGTGACATTGCTCTACTTTAAGAAAATCTCATTAACACGTGGGCTAACCAACACAGACCCAGGTCTGCAGTCAGTAAGTTCACACCACATGTTCTAGTGTCCTTTCAGAAATTCCTTTGTTTATAGAGTCGATGAAGACTCTGGATTACTAGGGAGAGCCTTGACTCCATGGAACTTCTAAAGGCTCTTGGCGACCATGCTTGGAGGCCAGAAGGAAGGGCCTTAGGGGGAGGGAGTGGCACCACACAGATGAACAGGCCACGCAGAGAACTCTGGTGGCCCTCGCTAGACAGCAATGCAGCCAGCAAGCGCTCACCTCTGAGAAACGGAATAAACGGGTCAACCTCAGCCCATGAAGAAGTGCTTTTTCCTGTTTCGGCTCTTACACGAAACTTCATTTCGGCATAAATATTTGTGTTCAGCAAAGAGAATTCGCATTCAGTCCCCGTAACGTGGTGACACCCAGGCAATTTTAGCCAGTTCTCCATCTCGTCTCTTTTAATTGAGAGAACAGAACAAAACTGAATGAACTAATGAATATATAGAGGTTTCAAATGCATTTTCTACTCACAAAGCATGGTTAGCTTAACTTAAAAATTTATTTCCTGTGTTGAGTATCACTACGTGCTGAGTGCTTTCGAATGAGTGAAGGGCCAGAAACAAAAAACAAAACCAACAACAGAAACCAATGGCCGCACCTAAAAGGCCATGTGTAGCCGTGCGCCTAAGGAAAGGCCATTAAGAAGTTTGTCATTGGGAACAGCAGAGGCTACTGTTTTGTTTTGTTTTGTTTTGAAGACAGGATTTCTCTAGAGGACAGCTCTGGCTGTCTTGGAACTCACTCTGTAGACCAGGCTGGCCTCAAACTCAGAGAGATCCATCGGCCTTTGTCTGCCCAGACAAAATTTAGTCAATTTTTAACAGGGTTTTCACTTCAATTTTATGAGTGGTTACATTAGCATTTCAAGGAACTAGAAATAAATGATCCAGGAGACAAAAACAGATTTGGCCAGCCTGTTTCAAGACAGCTGTGTGATTTCTGGGAGATGAACCTCTGTCTCTGGACTTTGACTTCCTTATTAAAGACTGGGAATTGGTCTGATGACCCCTTGTGGCTCTGAATAGACAGCCTGTCCTAGGGGAGGCCTCAGAGCTGTGGGTGTTAGTTTCCTCTGTATCTGTCCTCCCCCTTTCTGTTTCCTGGGGCCTTCACTTCTTCAAAGACTTCTTCTAAAATTATGTGTATATGTATGTGTGTGGGCATACACATGTTAGTAGGGTATCTGTGAGGTCAAAAGATTGGGGACAGCTGGAGCTGGGTTGCAGATGTTGAGGGCTGCCCGACCTGTGCCGGGCACCTAAGTTAGGCTGCCTTCCAGGCCAGCGCCTTCCACTGCTAAGCCTCTCGAGACCCCCGCCTCTTTAGTGCTATTACACCACCAGAAAACACATGCCGACGGAAACAAATGGATTCCAGCGGAAATGTCCAGTCGCATCAATTCAGGTGACTGGTATCAACAGTAAAAATGGGGGCACGGCTGGGAACGGCGATCCATGTTTAGAATCTTAGTGCTGGGGAGGCCGAGGCAGGGGTATTGGACCTTTGAGGCCAGCCTGGACTACACAGTAAGTTTAGAATTGTCCTAGGCTATACAGTAAGAGTCCATAAACAAACATTTAAACAAAAATAATAAGAAAAAAATAACAAAAGCTAAATTAAAAATACTGTGGTGTAGTGTTGCTCAGTGGCCCCTGCTGGCCTCGCATAAGCAGTACCTTGTCTCAGCATGACTGACTGCATGAGTACTAAACTATCCACTGCCCTTCAACCCATCATCTTTCTTTATCTCTGTCATCTCCTTTCATGTTCCTGGAGATCACCACCATCACCATCACCATCATCATCACCACCATCACCATCATCACCACCATCACCGTCACCATCACCACCACCATCATCACCATCATCACCATCATCATCATCACCACCACCACCATCATCACCACCATCTCCACCATCACCACCCCTATCATCACTACCACCATCATCACCACCACCATCATCATCACCATCATCATCATCACCACCATCACCATCATCATCACCATCATCACCACCATCATCACCATCATCATCACCATCATCATCACCACCACCACCATCATCATCACCATCATCATCATCACCACCATCACCATCATCATCACCATCATCACCACCATCATCACCATCATCATCACCATCATCATCACCACCACCACCATCACCATCATCACCACCATCATCATCACCATCATCATCATCATCATCATCACCACCACCACCACCATCGTCACCATCACCATCATCACCACCACCATCATCATCATCATCATCACCATCACCATCATCACCACCACCACCACCATCATCACCATCATCATCATCATCACCATCATCATCATCATCACCATCACCCCCATCAGCATCGGGTTCCTGGCACATTTCCTTTTGCTCTTGGAACTGTCGTGCTTTGGATGGTAGTGCACTCGCCGTCCACTAGCAGAAAGGGAACGCACAGGCAAGGTCTGACGTGTGTGAACTGTGTCTAAAGTGAAACACGCAGGCTGGAGAGGGCTCGGTGGTTAGCAGCACTGGCTGCTCTTGCAGAGCACCTGGGTTAGGTCCCCACACCCACACGGCTTACGACCTTCCCTAATTACAGTGCCAGGGAATCCTATGTCCTCTTCTGGCCTGCACAGGTACCACATATGCACACGGTACACATACATGCACACAGGCAAAACATTGACACACATGAATTAAGTAAGCCTAGAAAGTTTAAAACAATGAAGCCTCTGTGTATGAGGGAATGTGGAAGGCTACAAGGGCCCTGTTCCCAGACCCAGCAAGGCTCTCTGGGTTCTCCAACGTCAAAGACAGCTCAGACACTGTCGTACATTTAGTGACTACGTGATACCCACGCAGAGAAGATACTGTCTACTAATCTCATCCTTCGACCTCAAGAAACGCTTTATTTAATCCGTGTGTGTGCGTTTGTGCAAGCGCAGCAAGGCACACGAGAGGATAACTTGCAGGAGTTCGTTCTTTCTTTCCAGGCGGCCCCTGGGAGTCCACTCAGCCCATCAAGCTGGGTGGCAAGTGCTTTTACCCTCATTTCAGCTCAGTCTCCACCGAGATAAAGTCACAAATATGTGAGACATAAAATTCCCTATAATGGAGACCAACAAGTGCTTCCCATACTAAAAAAGAAATTGTGGTACTGAAATCATAAAAACATCCCTGTCACTGCAGCGAGCCAGTTAGCCACCTACGTTTGGTACTCTGCGGAAAAGGTCACATTGCCCGCTGGCTCTCCTTTGTGGCTCCACTTTAGGGTTAGGTTGTCATCTACAATGTAGACGTCCACATCCTCAGGGGGCTCCAGCTCTTCCCCATCTAGAAAGCCAACAAGCAACAAAGCAATTATTCATGCTGTAAAAACATTTTATAGATTATTCACTGAGTTTCCATTTTTTTTAAAGCTATGATGCCTAGGGACCACAACGACAACCAAGATGGCACGGTAACCCTGAGGGTGCACCAACGGCTCACCAACTGAGCTTAACGTCTGCTTAACCAGTCAGAAATCATTCCTGGGACTGGGAACCTTGGCAGCTGCCCAGGGCCAGTGAAGTCATGCCTACAAACATCGCTTTACTAAAACCAGCATAATCCCTAACTATATTTTAGATGTTTGTCCTTATACCCACAGGTCAAGTGTCAGTCTCACTGACCATCAAGGAAACTTCTCTTTGCAACGGATGGAGACCGTAGCAGAAAAACACAGCTGATGGAACACAGAGCTGTGAGCTCAGTCCACTGGTGCGACTACAGCTCCTGGACCCAAGGCTCAGGGCCACTGTGGGAGGGGAGGCAGACAGTAAGAGCAGGGCGTCGGCTGTGAGACACTGTGTCCTGGAAGTGTCGGAGGCTACACCCGTGACGTCTCAGCGATGTGGCTGCCTAAGATGGCCTACACAAGCGCACCACCAGCAGACGAGTTAGTGTGGGAGGCCGAAAGCCCAGGAGGCCTCAGTCCCAGAAAAAAACAAAACAAACACAACAGAAGCCTACAGGCAACTAAGGAAAGCTGAGAGCAGGAGAGAGAGTCTTCCGCAGGGAGGAGCACACTAACCATCTGATATTGACTAGCTTATATCAAATGGTCAGCCTGACAACACACGCACAAGTAACGCCAGACACATTGAGAAGGTTAATTGTATGTCTAGGAACACACACAAACACAGACACACAGACAGACACATACACACACTTAAAAAGAGACCATGAATTTGATAGAGAGTGTGCTGGTGGTCGTGGTGGACATAGACAGACAGACACACACAGACTCACACAGACACACAGACAGACACACACACACACGTAAAGAAAAAGAGACCATGAATTTGATAGAGTGTGTGTTGGTGGTTGTTATGGCACACAGGAAGGGGGGAGGAGGAAAGGGAAGGAGGAAATGATGTAACTATATTTTAATCTCAGGAAATAAAAGTATTTTAAAAATTTAAATTCAATTTATGTATCCTATTTTATGTGAGAGTATTCTGCTCATATGTGTATGTACTTCATGTAGGTTAGAAGAGGTTATCGGATTGGAGTTACAGGTGGTTGTGAACCACCAAGGGGGTCCTAGGACCTGAGTCCAGGTCTTTGAAAGTGCAGTTAAATACTTAATCACTAAGCCATCTTTCCAGCCGCAGGACAGATTTTTTTTTTTTTTTGGTTTTTTAAGACAAGGTTTCTCTGTTTGGCTTTGGAGGCTGTCCTGGAACTCGCTCTGTAGACCAGGCTGGCCTCAGACTCACAGAGATCCGCCTGCCTCTGCCTCCCGAGTGCTGGGATTAAAGGCGTGCGCCACCAACGCCCGGCCCAGGACAGAAGTTGTTCACACAGAGCAAAGTATAAAGCAGTCTCCTCTGAAATGTGGGCACTGAAACCCAAGGCCTCCAGTGACTGCCTCAAACTGCACTCAGAAACCAGCTCTATCCAGACATTTTCCTACATAACTACAGTCATGCTGGTTTAATAAAATAGACATAGTAAGATAATAAAAATAAATACGACATAGAGTAGTCACAGTGTGGCTGAGGACCCGGGTCATTATTAGGTAAATAAGAGGGTTCCTTGGACACAGTCTCTATACTACTTTACTGGTTATTTGTATATCCTGGATAAAGGGAAGATCCCCACCCTAGGAAGGTTGGAGAGATTTCGTACACAATTTAGACATGAGGTGTGCGGACCTTTATAATCGATATATAGAACCTTTATTAATATATGATGCCTTGTCTCTTACAGCCTTAATTGTGTGGATTAGAAACTTCCGAAGAAGCTATGACAACAGAGCACTCTAAGAAGGGCCGTGTTTAGACAGCATCCTCCTCCAAAAGGAGTTACAGCGCAGACCCATCTGCCGCATCAGGCACTGGGAGTCTGGGGTAAGGGCTGCTCCAGAACCTTAGGGAACAAGTGTCACCCCTGACCTAACCCTTTCAGGGAAGTAGGTATGGACCGCTGATATAGACCATCTCGTAAGAATGAAGTAAGGTACTGTTTCCATCTGGTGGCTGGAGCCCCTCACTCCTGTAACTTGTCTACGTAATGCCCTGCTCCCTGCATCCTCATACTTACTGAATGATCTAGAACTTGTTTGCTCTGTGGGTACAGGAAAAAAAAATCATGTAACCTCTGAATATGTATTCCTGGGTTTTGATCACTCATATTTGTTTCAGACGAAATTATTTCATTTCCCTTCAAAGCAGAGTCACTGTTTTGGACCGATGACTTAAAGCCCTTCTGTCTGAGATTGATACAGCTACCCTGATCATCAAGTCTTCCCTTGAAGATGGCACACTCCAGACAGTTCCAAAACAGTTTAAAGTGCTGTCTAGGTAAAGACTACTGACTCATCCTGCCTACTCCAGTCATATTTCTAGAATCCCTAAAAAGACATGTTTTTAATCTCCCTTTTTTCTGTTCTTTTTCTCTTTTTGAAATTAATCTTTTTACATTCCAATCCCAGTTCCCCCTCCCTCCTTTCCTCCCACTCCCGCCACTGCCCCTTCCTCCCATCTGCTCCAGGAAGAGGGTGAGGCCTTCCCTAGGAAGTCTACTAAGTCTGTCCCATCATCTCCTTGAGGCAGGACCAAGGCGCGTCTCCACCCCCACACCCCTGTGTCTAGGCTGGGCAAGGCGTCTCTCCATATAGAATGGGCTCCACTAAGTCAGTTTGTGCATTAGAGTTAGGTCTTGGACCCACTGCCAGTGGCCTCATATATTGTCCCAGTCACACCATTGTCACCTACATTAAGGGAGCTTAGTTTGGTCTTATGAAGACCCCCCTCTTTTAAAGTTAAGTTTGTGTGTCTGTGTGTGTGGGTGTGTGCAGATGAAGCAGGCGCTATTAGGATTGTCTGGAGGTGGAGACGGCAGGGAGCCACCTCTCCGGTTCTGATGTGCTATTCCTTTTTTTTTTTTTTTTTTTTTTGGTTTTTCGAGACAGGGTTTCTCTGTGGCTTTGGAGGCTGTCCTGGAACTAGCTCTTGTAGACCAGGCTAGCCTCGAACTCACAGAGATCCGCCTGCCTCTGCCTCCCAAGTGCTGGGATTAAAGGCGTGCGCCACCAACGACCGGCCGTGCTATTCCTTTTAAAGATGTACTTTATGTGTGTTTTCCTGCACGCATGTATGTTACCACATGCGCCTCATGACGATGGGCGTCAGAGGTGGTGTTTAGTCCCCTGGAGCCCGGGCGAGGGAACAGCAGCGCTCTCACCCACTGAGCTCTCCGCCGGCACCTAGGCTATCGCTTTTTAAAGTATCTTTGCATATCTGGCTCCACTGTCATTTCTCCTTTTGAAAACTTCTGCCTCCAGACAATCACGTCATATCCTGACGCTTCTACTCCAGAGGCTTACAGAGTACAACTAGATCATATGAGAGATCCGAGAGAACATATTCCAATTCTTCTTAGATGTCAGGGGCTTCGCTTTCTTACTGGGGATGGAACTCATGGTCTTGTACACGCTAGGAACTACATTCCCAGAACCCCCACCAGAGCCTTTGGCCTTCATCCTAAACACAATCGACCCTCCTTACCCTCTTGTTAGAATTTACAGATCCTGTGCAGAAAGGGCAGTGATTAGGGTTAGAAGATTAACAAAAGATCCAATAGCATCTGTAGCGGTTATAGTATTCTGTTCATGGTGTTCTTTTTCAATTTACTTTATATGTATGAGTACTCTGTCTGCATGTACACCGTGTCCCTCTCTAGCCAGAAAAGAGCATCGGGTCTAATGAGAACTGGAGTTACAGACATTTTTTTTTTTTTTAGTTTTTTTTAGTTATTTTTTTAGTTAGTTACAGACATTTGTATGCCACCACACGGGTGCTGGGACTTGAACCTGGGTCCTCTGAAAGAGAAGCCAACCTTCTAAGCTGCTGAATCACATCTCTCTAGACCCTGTTGGTAATATTCTAATTAAAATGACGGTGAGCCAGAGAGGAAGCGGAGGTCTGATGAGGTACAGCCAGGGATGCTTTCAGGGGTGCGATCTCCCCCTGAAGGAGCCCCGACGGTAGAACCATTTTGATGCTTCTGTGACCATCGACTCAGAAGTGAGTGGAGATTTGGAAACGAGAGTTAACTGCACTTTGTTTTCATAGATTTTGCAGTGTCAGTAACAACGGTTTATCCCCCCTTAGCATGTAACATAACATTACTTAAATTGTGTGTGTGTCTGTCTATCTGTGGGCACATTTATGTCAGAGCGAGCATGTGGGAGTCTGAAGACAAATGGCTGGAGCTGGCTCTCTCTTCCGAGTGGGTTGGGGATTGAACTCAGGTCCTCAGGCTCGGGGGCAGGTACCTTTCCTACTTAGCCAGCTTGCTGGTCCAGGATATACAATTTATATATGAGCGTTTATTTATAATTTCGGTTGCTTCCAACCTTTGATGTTCATCTTGATGACCACTAGGGTGTACTATTTTCTGAAATCTGATGTAAATACAAAGACATACATCCATACATTTATACACCAGATTTCATTTACTTGTTGGACAATTTTCTTGGTCTAAAGTCCTAGACTGGCCCTTACTAGAATAAAAGCATGATTTAATTTTTTTTTTGAGTTTTGGAGTAAGGGTCAAGGTAACAATCTCAAATTTAGAGTACTCATTCACTAATTTTCCAGCATTGCTGCCCCTTTAGGGGGAGAAGAGCATTAACAGGAAGAGGACTGAGGAGGAGGAGGGCTCTAACATGTAAATGGACAGTCAACTATTTCATTTGAAACGTTTTCCTTTAAGAAAACAGCTCTGGTGGGGAGTGGCGGTGCACACGTTTAATCCCAGCACTTGGGAGGCAGAGGTGAGTTGATCTCTGTGAGTACCAGGCCATATAAGGAGACCCACCTCAAAACAACAAAACAAACAACCGTCGCTGGCTTGGGGTGGTAGCATACGTCAGTAATCCCAGCACTCAACTAGCAGAGGCAATAGGGTTCAAGCACAAAGCCAGGCGGGCTACACAGAGAGATCCTGCCTTAAAAAAAAAAAAAAAAAGGCAGGGAAACGGCTCAGGCGAAGAGTGCCGGGGGCACAGGCGTGAGAATCTGAGTTGGGGTCTCCAGCTGGGTGTGGCGGCCGGTGCCTGTCATCCCGGTGCCGAGCAGAGAGAGGGTCCTTGGCGCTTGATGAGCGGCCAGTATACTATTTATTATCCAGCTCCACGTTCAGTCAGAGACCCTGTCCAAATACAGAGGGCAGCAGCAGAGCTGGCATTCACCCCCGATTCCCATTTCACAAGCACACAGGCAGCGCACAATGAATGCACGTGAGCACACGCACAATCAAAACAACAACTGCCCAGCGTGGTTAAGCCACGCGGCTCTCAGGAAAGGCTCTCAGGTGTGGTTTTCAATTCAGTCGGAAACTGGTGCACGACTTTAGTTAGGCAAGCTACTTAAAAAAAAACTCTCGGTGCCTCAGTTTCCCCATCTGTGGAAGGGCAGCTCTTATAAAGCATGCCTTAGTAACTACTTCAGTTTAAGGTCAATTCTTTTGAGACACAGCCTCAGTATTTACTGAGCGCAGACAGGGTGGCCTGGTCCTCAGTCTCCCCAGTGCTGGGATTACAGGTGGATGTCACCACAGCTGGCTAAAGTTAACTTCTTAAAGTACATCCCCTTTAAATGTCCATTTCACGCGAAAACAAAGAGGGGTTCCCTCGTCTACCCAAGTAAACACGAACGTGAAGATCTTTAAAAAACAAAGCTTCACAATAACCACCATGGGATCTGTCTGACCACTTGCACGAGTTCACGGTGCTGTGCGCTACCTGCGGGGTGAGACTCGGGTATCCCGGACCTCCCGGGAGTAGCGACTTCCAAGAGGACTCGGAAGTTGCTGGAGGAGTCCTGGCTGGCATGCTGGACTGTCCTCTGGTCCCTTACCCCGCTTTGAAAAGAAGGCTCTTGTCTCTGTCGAGCAGTCGCCGTTCTCCTGGGGCAGCAGACCAGCCCAGGGGTTCCCTGGCTTGCTTGTTATTGCATTTAGACGCTGCGACCTCGGCCCGGTAAGGCGACTGTGTCAGTCCCCGGCGAGGTCGGGACGGACTGCACCCGGCTGGGGCAGCGCGTTCCTGCGGCTGTCCGGTCTTCCTCCCGCCCGCACCCCGCCCCGAGCGTCCCCAGGCTGCAGCAGGGGCGCAGGCGCCGGCTCCCGTCGGGAGGGTGACGGGGTCAGCGTGCGGGGACTCGGCGCCCGGAGAGCAGCCCGGGCCCTTCCCTCCCCGCGGCCCGGCGCTCGCCCAGGCCCCTCCGCTCACCTGCGGCTGCGAGCAGCACCCAAGGCGCCCCGGCTACCAGCACCAGGGCCGCCGAGCCCAGGAGCCCGAGCATCGTGCCCGGAGCCCAGGCCCGCGGCTCACACGCCCGTCTCCACCAGCGTCGCCGCGGAGCCCGAGGTGACCCGCGAGCAGCGCGGTCCTCCGCTGACGCCCCGCCCCTTCCGCGAACGCCCCGCCCCTCCGCCCCGGACGGCTCCTCCGTCAACGCCCCGCCCCTCTGCCCCGGACGGCTCCTCCCTCAACGCCCCGCCCCTCCGTGAGCAAGGGGCTTTGAAAGTGGCAGGCGGTGTAGCCTTCAACTCGAACCCTGACCTCTGACCACAGCTGTCCCTGCCACGCCCCACTGTCACTTCCGTAAAGACAGACTACGGTCGTTATCGCCCGAGAGAAACGCGGGGTGCAGCCAGTGCGCCTGCGCAGATACTCCCAGTAACATCCCGAACCCCACCCCTCGGCTTCCTGTTTTTGCCCTGGGGTGGGGTTGGTCCCGGGCCACGGGGCGTTGCCTCAGGGGTGGCTGGTCTACCGACTTGCACCGGGACGTGGGCATCCCCGGAGGCCCGGGATCCGAGGACCCTGGGACCCGGAAGGCCAGGGCGACACAGCAGTCACTGTGTCAGATGTGCGATTTTTATGCTTAGTTCCTTGATTACGCAGCATTTGAATCTGATCTATAAAAATATTTTTAGGTTGGTTTTATGTGTATGATTGTTTTACCTGCGTGTATGTATTGCGCCCTACGTACGTGCGTGCCTGGTGCCCATGTAGGAGGTGCCAGATACCCTGGCACTGGCGTCACCGATCTTAGGAGCTATCACGCTGGGCCCTGGTATCCGAATTCCCGCCCTCTGCAAGTGCTCTTAGCCACTGAGCCATCTCTCTAGCCCCTTAACTCTTTCATTACTACCTCCTTTTATTTGTTGTTTAATTTTTTTTTAAAAAGCACGCTTATCCATCAACAATGATACAATATAGAATTACCACAGTGGAAAAAACAATCCCCAAATTAAAAAAAAAATCTGGGTTTTGTATTTCTGACATGATACTTTTTGAAACAAATCAGTATTTCCAGGTAGTGTCAGGGCATTGAAAATACAATATTTTAAACACACTTGTTACAAACTTTACCTCTATAATCTGAATAGCTAGAATTCCTGTGTAAAGAACCACGTACACTGTATTTAGTAGTATTTAGAACTACATTCTATAAGAATGTCGATGAAAATACAATTTGGGTTTCACAGTAATAATAGCCTCTCGTGGAATCACATAGCCATCTCCCGGCTTACTTTACAATTGGAAATGTGTCATACTTTGAGAGCACAGTCACAGGACTTGCACAAAGTGTCTGTGTGAACTCCCGAGTAGGCATTTTATGTTACAAATTACCCATTCTTGTTCTTCTATAACTTGTAACACTATACTTTCAAGTACATGTTCAATTATACACATGTAACCATAGGCTAGGATCCACATATGCAGGAGAACATCCTCACCCCCACCCCAAGATTGGTGGCCTTGCTTCCAAGTCCGTTCATGCTGTGGAATATCATTTTAACTGGGCTGCAGGTGTGTTACATTTGTTTATACTGTGGAATATTACTTTAACTGGGTACAGGTGTGTTACTTTTGTTTATGCTGCATTTGTTTAATGGCGTAAAGATGTGTGTTTAATTATGTGGCAGCTGTTTGGCCTTGCCTGCCTAAGGTGATGTGTCAGTAGCTAGGCAGGGCTGCCAGGCAGAGAGAATAAACAGAGGGGAAGAAAAGAGGAGGGAGCCACCAGCCAGCCAGACACAGAGTCAGCAGGAAAGATATAAAGGGGTAGAAAAGCTAAGGCTGAGCATTCATAACTTATATTAGGTCTCTGTGTCATGCTTTGGCTGGTTAGTGGCCAAAAAAGAAAAAACCTGGTCCACATTCATTTTTCTCTGGAGTTGAATATTTCATCTTTTTTATATGTCCTGGATTTTCAGTATCCATTCATTGCTGATGGACAACCAGGTTGGATCCATTCCCTTCCTATAGTGAATAAAGTGGCAGTAAAAGCCCAGGTGCAGACATCTCTGTGACAGGGTGTGGAGTCAATGTAAAAGCTGGGTCATATGGTAGTTCTATTTTTGAGGAACCTCCAAAATGTTTTCCACTACGACTATTAGTTTGCATGCCCATCAGTAGTGAGAGTTCCCTTTTCCCTGCATCCTCTCCAGCAAGCATCAGATTTCCTTTTTCTTTTTATTAAGATTTATTTATATTATGCATACAGTGTTCTGGCATACAGGCCAGAAGAGGATATGAGATCTGATCTCTAATAAAGTGTCATACTCGCCGCCCCCGCATCCTTGGCGCGGCTCGCTTACTGTCATCTCGTATTTCAGTTTTTAAAAACTGTATTCTACCCATTAGTCCATTTGTTGACTGTAGTTTTATTTCCTTGGTATTGAGCTTCTGTAGTTCTTTGTGAATTTCTGATATCAGAACCTTATCTGAGCATAACTGGTGAAGATTGCCTGTGGCCTGTGTGCTCGCTCCTCTGCTCGGCTCTGTGCATGTGCAGAGGCTCTTCAATGTGTGGAGTGTGTTCTGTTGGCACTGGGAGGTTCCATTCAGAAAGTTATTGCCTCCCCAGTGTCGTTCACAGTACTCCCTGTTTTCATCTAGATGTTTCAGGGATTTTGTCTGCTTTTCCACCTGAGACACGGTTTCTCATTGTAATAGCCCTGGCTGTCCTGGAACTCACCTTATAGACCAGGCTGGCCTTGAACTCACAGAGATCGCCTGCCTCTGCCTCCCAAGTGCTGGGATTAAAGGCGTGTACCACCACGGCCCGACAATGTTTCCGGTTTTAAATTAAGGTCTTTTATCTATTTAGAATTGGCTTTTGTATAAAGTGAAAACTATAACTCTAATTTCATTCTTCTGTAGGTGGATATTAGCTGCACAAATTACGGTACACGGGATTGGGATGAGGTAAATTAATTTTATTGAAGAGAAAATCATATACATGAGAAACCGATATCCCAGGGTTAGCGATCCGAACATGCAGTATCAGCTCAAGGCTTGCCTCTTCAGTTCTATATCCTTCCTCACATACGCACCTGTGGCCACGCCCAAGTGGGCGTGGTCAGCGCCACAGGTACCTAGTAAGATCTCTCCCAACAGTGGATGTCCAGTTTTGCAGTATCATTTGTTGACTGTTTCTCTCCCATGTTTGTCAAGAGTTGGATGGACACAGCTTGATCAGTTTATTTCCAAGTCTTCTGTTCATTTGTCTCCCTGCCTGTTTTTATGCCAGGGTGTCTTTATCTCTATACTTCTAGAGTATAATTTGTAGGTGTGTGTCATGCTAGGACTGCTTTGACTATTAGTGATTGTGGTTCCATATGAATCCCTGAATTATTTTTATTGTATCTGTGAAATATGACATTGGAATTTATGCATTAAATCTATAGATTAATTTTGATAGTACTGCCATTTTTTTTTCCCGAGACAGGGTTTCTCTGTATTGTTTTGGAGGCTGTCCTGGAACTCACTTGGTAGACCGAGCTGGCCTCCAACTCACAGAGATCTGCCTATTTCTGCCTCCTGAGTGCTGGGATTAAAGGCGAGCGCCACCAATGCCCAGCTCTAGTACTGCCATTTGTACATATTAATCCTGGCAATTTGAGAGTATGTCAGCTCTTTCCATTGTTCAATATTTTCTTTTTCAATGTCTTGAAATTTTCATTATAAAGGAGTTTCTTTTTTAGGTGTATTCCTAGGGTGGATTGGGGAAGCTATTTGAATGTGACAGGTCTCTTAACTTTTTCCTTGGTGAATATGTTGTTGGCATACATGAAGGCTACTATTTCTTGTTGTTTTTGGTTTGAGACAGGTTTTTTTTTTAAAGATTTATTTGTTTATTATGTTTACCGTGTTCGGTCTATGTGCATGCATGTCAGAAGAGAGCACCAGATCTCATTACAGATGTCTGTGAGCTGCCACCATGTGGTTGCTGGGAATAGAACTCAGGACCTCTGGAAGAGCAGTCAGTGCTCTTAACCTCTGAGCCATCTCTCCAGCCCGAGACAGGGTTTCTTTTTGTAACAGTTTTGACTGTCCTGGAACTCGCTTTGTAGACCAGGGTGGTCTTGAACTTATGGAGATCTGCCTGACTCTGCCTCCCAAGTGCTGGGATTAAAGGCATGCACCACCACTGCCTGGCTACTAACTTTTTAAGTATTCATTGTATCCTGCAATCCTGCTGTGTTTATTAGCTCTAGTTTTCTAGAAGCTTCTGTGGGGTGTTTTAAAGTATAGAGTCCTTCCCAGAGTTCCTATCTCTGCCTGGAAGTCGCGCCTATCCTCTCCTGTCTAGCTATTAGCCATTCGACTCTTTTTATTATTATTATTTTATTTCTTTATTTTTTGGTTTTTCGAGACAGGGTTTCTCTGTGGCTTTGGAGGCTGTCCTGGAACTAGCTCTTGTAGACCAGGCTGGCCTCGAACTCACAGAGATCCGCCTGTCTCTGCCTCCCAAGTGCTGGGATTAAAGGCATGCGCCGCCAACGCCTGGCCCCATTTGACTCTTTATTAACCTGATAGGAGTGTGTCTTGACAGAGACACATCTTTCCAGTATACAAAAAGATTGTTTCACAACAGGTTTTGCTATTAATTAATACTGAGTTCCTGGGATGAATTTGAAAGTGTTCCTGACTTTGTATTTTGTGGAACAAGATGAGGATTACGGAGATCTTTCTTGGCATTTGATAGAATCCCAGTGATCAGTCTGGTCCTGGGCTTTTATCTGAGTGGAGACTATGTTTTTAGTTTTAATTTTGGAGACAGGGTTTCCGTTTAGTGCTGGCAGTCCTGACACTCGCTCTGTAGACCAGGCTGGCCTTGAACTCAGGAGATCCTCTTGCCTCTGCCTCCTGAGTGCTGGGACAGTGTACATGTGTCAGAGGCTGAGAGCAAGCTTTTGATTGCAGTTTCTGTCTCATTGTTTGTGATGTGCCTACGTTACTTATATCTTCTGGCTGTGATTTTGGTAGATGATATGCATTTAGAAATTCCATTCCTTCCAGAATTTTAGACCATCAGTTTATAGTGCATTCTCTAATAGGTTCTGATTTGTTGGATTCTATTGTAATGGCAGTCTTTTGATCTCCGATT